GTAGCTGGGACTACAGGCGCCCGCCACCTCGCCCGGCTAGTGTTTTGTATTTTTTTAGTAGAGACGGGGTTTCACCGTGTTAGCCAGGATGGTCTCGATCTCCTGGCCTCGTGATCCGCCCGTCTCGGCCTCCCAAAGTGCTGGGATTACAGGCTTGAGCCACCGCACCCGGCCTGTTATTTACTTAACAACCACTCCAGAGTCTAAGAAGGCAGGCGGCGGCTATCTGAGGGGTGCTGTGAGTGAAACCTGAAGGACGATGCGTTGCACTGGAGCAAACCAACCTAGCCCCAAACACGCTGAGACTGCATTCCAGAGACCCACTGGCCCAGCCCTGTGGCTCTGATGTTTCGGGCAAGTTGGGCCAAATTCCTGGTGCAGCTTGCTGGGCAGGTTGTGAGCTCTCGTGGGGAGGTGCAGGGTCCAGTCCCCCTCTGGGGCAGAGAAGGCGGGCTCCAAACAGGGAAGAAGAGAGATCTTACTCCTGGAGTTGAACAGAGGGAATGGACTAAGTTCAAGGTATGCGGCATACCCTTTACATTTTGCCTGAGCCCAGGCTGCCCTTGGCCTTTCTGGGTCTGACCAGGAGCCGCCTTCTCACACAGGTCACAGGCCTCCCCAGCCCCAGGACTCACCTGCACTGTCCCCTTGGCCTGGCACCCTCCCTCCCTCTTCCTGCACATCCACATGCCATGCAGCCTCACAGGCCTTCCTCAAACTCCACTGCAGCATCAGTTCTGTTCTCCTCCCCTTCCAGAACTTGCCCCCAGTGCCTGTTCCTTCTGCCCTGGACTCCTGTGGCTGTTTATATTCTGCCTCCTCCCTGCTCCGTCGCTTTCCTCAGACTCTCACTGTTGATCTCTGTATGTGCGCTTGAAGCCTGCAATGTGTGGTGCAGTGCCAGACCCTCCTCCAGGAGATGGCATGAGGCCTGCTGTGTGCTGTTCCTGTGTCGGGAAGGCTCTCTCCCTTCACCTGGTAACCACTGCCCACCAGTCCAAAGGGCACTTCCTCCCACAAGCTTCCCTATAGGCCAGGCTGGGCTGGTGGTGTACCTGGGCTCCCTGAGCCTCATGATAAGCTTCAAAGAGGCAGGGGCCCCTCCTCCATGGCGTCCCCATTGCCCAGCGCTTACTGAACGTGGGCTGGAGGCAGGAGGCTCTATTGAGCTTACTGTTACATCCACAGGGTGGGCACAGGGGTACTACCCAAAAGGTATTCAGAAACAGGGTCCCACCGTGCAGCCTGCCCCCACCCCAACTTTGTTCTAGAACGGTTGGTCCATGTGCTCCCTGCTATGATCTGAATGTCTGTGTCCCCTCCCCAAATTCCTATGTTGAAATCCTAACCCCCCAAGATGATGGTGTCAGGGCTGAGACCTTCGGGAGGTGATCAGGTCAGAAAGATGGAGCCCTCATGAATGGTATCAGTGTCCTTAGAAAAGAGGCCCCAGAGAGACCCTTCACCTCCTCCAGCGTGTGGGGACACCACAAGAAGGTGCCGTCTGTGAGCCGGAAAGCGGACCCTCAACACACGCGGAGTCTGCAACCCCTTCATCTAGGACTTCCAACCTCCAGAACAGTGAGAAATGGGCTCCTGCTGTTGACAAGCCTCCTGGTCTACCGTAGTTCATTACAGCAGCCCGAACAGACTGAGACACGGTCTCTGAGCACTTTGCCTGCAGTCACGGGCAAAGGGTGCCCAGCATAAGCCCTGGCCAGGTGCCTCTCAGCCTCACTTGCTGTCCCTCTTGAAAAGAGCTCTCCTAGGGAGCAGGGACTCTGTCTTTCCTACTCACATACCCTCTACCCTCCATCCCCATCCACAAGACACCCAGACAATGCCAGCCTGTTGTGCCACATCTCCCTGGTTCTAGAAAACATGATCCTACAAGAGGGTGGGGAAAAGAGCTCATGCAGATCATTGCCCCTGGAGGCAGTGGGCACACGGAGCCCGTGGCCTGTCAGAGGACAGTGCCCTGGTGAGCAGCCACCACTTCTGATTTTCCAGTTTGTGGATTTGTGCAGTAGACACAGAGCCTGCCTGCTGGAATCAAGAGGCCTGGTCACCAGCCATGGGGTCTGGGCACATTAACTCCCATTGCTAGCCTGTATGGTGGGTGACACCTGCCAGCAAGGCTCTGTGGGATTAAATGAGGCCATGCAGGCAAAGTGCCTGTGGCAGTGCTGGGGCTGGGACTCAGCAGGCCCTTAGTAACAGATTCCCCTCCTGCGCTGAGGCCAAGGCAGCTGCGGCTGCCATTCCCCCATCCACCAGCAGGTGCCCTCACTGCTTCACGCCTTCGATGGAACCCAGGGCTGTGGGTGACTGTGTCTGTGAGACAAATAAAATCCCTAGGGGTAAGTGTGGGTTCAGGGTAGCTCTCTGAACTCATGTCTGCACCCAGCCTCGGCATCCATAAATGGGGGTGACGACCCCCACTACCTTCTGTTCCCAGAGGTGAAGGTCCCAAGCCCTGTCCACCAGGGCAGGTGCCCAGGGCCACGCCTGAGATGACCATGAAGACTGGATTTGGGAGGCTGCCGATGTCTGCATGGAGCTGGCATTTGACTGGCAATTGCTAATCTTGAGCAGGGTTTTCATCGAGGGCTCGAAGCTTTAGAGGTGCAGTGTCACTCAGGTTCAAGGTGCTCAGCAGTTCTGTGTCCTTGGGCAGGTACTTAACACTTCTGAGCCTCTGTTACCTCATCAGTAAAATGGGAGTCATCTTACCTACCTCAAAAACCAATGCACCTGCTATTATGGATGGGCAACTCCTGCCCCATTAATCTTTCCCTAAACACATCCCTCTCCCCACAATCTCCCCCCTCCCCCTGAACACACACAAGCTGGAGGTAACCTCTTCCTTCCCCAGGCTGGCTCTGCAATGGCAACTTTCCAATTCCTACTTTGTGGAAACCCGCCCAAGGCCAAGTTAATATTTGACAGAAGCCCCAGATCCACCCTCTTATTCACACCCACTGGGAAGACTGAGGACACTCACTGAGTTACTACTGGCTGAAGTTATTTTTTCATATCCTGCTGGAAACCAAAATATGGTCCTGGGCTTCTGACAAGCATCAACCACCTCAATGATCAGCAGGTGGCCCAGAGCACTTGGGGAAGCTGTGCTGGGAAATGAAGACAGGCCCATCTTTACTCACCAATGCCTCTCTCTTACCGATGTCTCTCTCTCTCTCTCTCTCTCTCTCTCTCTCTCTCTCTCACCAATGCCTTTCGTTCATCAGCAGGTGGCCTAGAGCACCTGGGGAAGCCTACCAATGCCTCTCTCTCACCAATGCCTCTCTACTTACCAAAGCCTCTCTATTACCAGTGCCTCTCTATTACCAGTGCCTCACTCCTCACCAGTGCTTCTTACATCCAAACAGGGCACTTACATGTCCTCCTCTGGTGGTCAAGCACAGACAAGGCTGGAGCCATCCAGCACTGGCTAAGGTTTAATGAGCACTCACCAGGGGTTGGGTTCGGCTTGGGGCTGAGGATATGCTAGGGTGGGGAAGGAGAGAGGCAGTTGGGGGTGGTTGGAGGACACCCTGCTGAGGGTAGAGTCTAGTCATGAAGATGAACATCAAGCGGAGAACTCCAGCTGGAAGGAAGGGGTCACAGAGATAGGGACAAACTCGCTTGACCCTGGCCGGGCTGCCCTCCTCATCCTCTGAAGCCTCTTTCAGAGATTGCCGCCCCTCTGCCTTATCAAAGGAGGGCTGGGACTGCTGAGCTCCACTGAGCTGTCCCGGGAGTGAGCTTTCCCCAAAGGCTCAGGCCCAAGTAGGAAGAGTTAGCAACAGAGGCGTGAAAGAAGTAGCAAAATACCAAACCAAACCACAGACAAAACCCCTCCAGATCAGGCAAGGACATTATTAGGAGCTGACAGGATCTTCTTGTTTTTAATTAGTGTGTGCTGATGGGAAATTTCCAAGCTGCTTTCGTCGGACTGCCCGAGGGTCATCTCACCCCCCACTGCAGGCTGCAGCTTCCTGTAGCCACCTTGCTTTAAGGCTTGTTCCCAGGACGGTCTCCTGGGGAGGAAGAAGATGTCCTCTCAGAGGCCAGCAGGTCCAACTAGCGAGCTATGAGATGCCCACGGTGGGTGAGGACCTGGGCTCCTGAAGTCCCACAGCCCATTGTGCCCAGAGGGATACTGCCCTGGGGACCCGACACAGTGGCAACTTGCTTGCAGCCATCCGAGCTAGCAGCTCACAGAGGCACAGCGGGGTTTTCTCATTTCAAATGCCTGGCCCCTTTCCAGAGGCGCTTAGAATGGCCAGCTGATGGGAGCTCTACTTTTCTTTGGAAAAGGCGTCTACGAATGTACTTCTCTCCCTAGGGACTGGGAAGGAGGAAGAATTGTGCAGCAGGGAGAGATGAGGGCCCCACTGGAGAGAGGGGAGCCCCTTGTCCTGCCTGCGGCAGCTGCCAGTGAAAAGAAAGAAGGGTTGGGAGTCTGAGCTGGAGGCTGCGGGGCCAATTCCCTCTTGGCAGGAGAGAATCCGGACTGGGGCGGATTTCAGGCTTCAGTGTTTGTAGGAGGAAACACAGCAATCCACTATTAATAGTAAATTAAAATAAATAGGCAACTGCTGTATAGTAATACTTGTTTTGTTTTTTTTTTTAAAGGCAAAAAATAATAGATAGTGAAACAGAGAAACTGAACAGGAAACACTGGCAGTCAACAGGCAGCAAAGAACATGCAGGTGGAGGTAGCAGCGGTCCCACCCTCAAAAGGCCCGGGCTGCCCAGACCAAGAGAAAGAGATGAATCTCTTCTGGTAACGTCCCTTCCTGTCCCATGGAACCAAGGCAGACCTGCCCCAGCACCACCACCAGCAGCCTTCTGCTGGGGCCGGCACGGCTGGGAGCAACCTCCTATCCCTAGGCAGGAGCGCAGCGCCAAGTAGAGAAGCCCGGGTGCACGTTCCCAGCCGAACCAGCGCCGGCTCGGGGGACGCGGAACGGGCCGGCGGCAGGGGCTGGTCCCAGCCCCCACTGCAGACCCCCAGGCTGTGGCGGCGGTCCCGTTCCGCCAGGAAACCGCCGCCTGGAGCTGTGGGTCGCGCACATTAACGCATCCAGCGGCAAAATGAAGGAGACCCAAATTCAAAGTTAGAGCAATGGTGACCCGAGGGGTGCCTTGGTGAGATTTGGGGTCCCGGTTACTGATGGTTAACATTCTTACGAGATACTGGTCACCTACGAAGCGAGAAAGGCATGAGGAGCGCCTGACGAAAGTGGTTTTGCCCTGCTTCCCACAACAGGTGCCACCCACGGCTGGAACGCAGGAGTCAGGTCCACCGTCCCCAGCTCTGCACGCCCGCAGCGGGCCCTCGAGGAGGTTCAGGGCGGTGCCCGCGGCGCTCGGGCCGGGTCTCCCGGGGCGTGGGGCTGGGGGCGGAGCTGGGCGGCGGCCGGGGCTCCTCCCTCCTCTGCTCCGGCTCCCCTGCTCTTAACCCGCGCGCGGGGGCGCCCAGGCCACTGGGCTCCGCGGAGCAAGCGAGAGGTCTGCGCGCAGTCTGAGCGGCGCGCGTCCAGTCCCGAGGCCCACGCCAGCACGCCCTCATGGCCCCCGCAGCGGCGTCGGGGGGCAGCACCCTGCCCAGCGGCTTCTCGGTCTTCACCACCTTCCCCGACTTGCTCTTCATCTTTGAGTTTGTGAGTGACTCCTGGCCAGGGAAGGGACGCGGGGGGGCTGAGCCGTGCGCTCTCTCGGGCGCCCAGCACAGCTCTCGGACTGGATCCGCTGGCTGCGCAGGTCCCGGGAGCATCGGGGCAGCAGGGACAGGGCGGGGACTAAGCCAGGGAAGCCCCCTCCCACCTCCGGTCGTTTGTCCCCTTCTAGACCAATGGAATGAGGGAAACAGTCTACAGGACTATAGAGGAAAAACCGGGTTCCCAACCGGGGTCGGATGTTGGCAGCGGGTCAGGCGGGGACGGCTCTTGGTGCGCTGGTCCCAGAGCTGCGCGCGGGGCCCTCCAGACGCGCCCGGCGCCGCCGAAGCTCACGCCGCGCTTTGCGCGGTTGGGTAGAAGTGCGCAGCTTTTTGAAGGGAGATAGTGTCGGAAAAAAAAAATCAGCAAAAGAAACGTTAGTGTTACCAACCGAGATCTGGAGATGAGAGGGAGTTGAATCCGGTTTATTTTCTTCTGGCCTTTTACAGTTTCTGGCGAGGGGACGTATTTGCGACCAATTCGATCTGGAAATGGGGCCCTAGTTTGCGCGGCCGCAGTCCTTCTGGCCCGTGTGTGGGGTGGGAGTGGAGGAGACGGGGGTTGGGGGGGCGGCGAGAGCGATCCGCGTGCCTCGGCTGACCTTGGGCAGCCCCGGGGCCTCTGCACCTGCGGTCGGTCCCGCCTTGCGCGCACGGTCCCTGCCTGAGGCTGCGGGAAAGCGCTTCCTACTGAGAACTCCTGATAAGCGCTCACGGCGTCGCGAAGCCGAAGTGACCTCCCTCAGCCTCAACTCCCCGGGGCCCGCTGGCCCTCACCTGGGCGGGGTGTGCCCTGTATATTCTGTGGGTGCGGTCCGTCGCCGCCTCGGGGACACCTTTTCCGGCACCCCACCCTCAGAAGCACAGGCGTGGAGAGTTGGAGGGGAAAGAAAATGTCGGAGCCTGGCTGTTTAAAAATTGGACCCCAGGTGGTTATTGCCTGATTGGAGGGGGAGGGTCAGTTCGTCCAAGGAGGGCTTGGGGGCAGGGGCTAGGCAGGGGCCGCTGCGGCGGCCTGGGAGCAGGACTATCATTGAACTTGGGGTGAAAGTCGAGTCGAACCCAAACCTGGGTGGAACCGGTGACTTTAAATCCCAGGGATAGGCGGAATCAAAGCAGTTATATTTAGAGGAAACCCGGGACGCCAATGAACGCAGCCCCACCATTCACAGAGAGCCAGCCCCGCGCTGGCCTTCAACATACAAGAGGGAGTGCCCCTGAGAGTAGGAACAGTCCAGTGAGACGGGGCGATCTCATCTGCGGGAAAGGTGACCGGAGGCTCCCACCCAACCCACCGATGCTGCAGAGACTACAGGGGTGTGGGAAACCTTGGAACCGTCTACTACTGGCAGCTTGCTCCGACAGCGCCAGCGTGGCTCTGTGGCCTGCCCGTAGGGGGCTTCCAGAACAAACAACTTCCCCTCGCCCAGAACGCTTCTCTCAGCTGACTTAGAAAGTCACTTCTCCACCTCACCCCTGCTCCCCACCTCCCTTCCTCACTTCCCAGGAGACCCGCAACGCACAGTCACCTCCAGGCGTCTTCCTTATGCTCTAGATTAGGGGTGGGCTAGCAGGTGCCCGGGAGAGAAGAGGAGAAAGCTGGCCCCAAGCCTCCCAGTTCTCCTCTGTGTGGACTGTAAATATGAAGCTGTATATATTTGATGTGTGGAAGGAATGCGGAATTAAAGGGCCTGAGAAGGCGCTGGCCACCCCGGGGGAGGTATTTTTTTTAAATTATGGAATATTACAACTCAACAAAAAGACAACCCAATTAGAAAATGAGCAATGGACTTGAACAGAGGTTTCTACAAACAAGATATACAAATGGTCAATATGGACATAAAAAGATGCTTAACATCATCAGGCATTAGGAAAACAAAATTGAAACCACAATGAGGCCAGGTGCGGTGGCTCACGCCTGTAATCCCAGCACTTTGGGAGGCTGAGGTGGGTGGATCGTCTGAGGTCAGGAGTTCGAGACCAGACTGACCGACGTCTCTACTAAAAATAAAAAAAATTTAAAAAAAAACTTAGCCAGGCGTGGTGGCTCATGCCTGTAGTCCCAGCTACTCAGCAGGCTGAGGCATGAGCATCGCTTGAACCTGGGAGGCAGAGGTTGCAATAAGATCACGCTGCTGCACTCCAGCCTGGGCAACAGAGTGAGACTTGGTCTCAAAAAAATACATAAATAAGTAAATAAATTAAATAAATAAATAGAAAGAAAGAAATCACAATGAGATACCACTTCACACCCATTAGGCTGGCTAGCATCCAAAAAATGGAAAACGTCAAGTATTGGGTGTGGAGAAATTGGAACCCTTGTATGTCGCTGGTGGGAATGTGAATGGTTCAGTCACTGTGGAAAACAGTTTGGTGTTCCCTCAAAAAATGACCCTCTGACCCAGCAATTCCACTCCTAGGTATATAACCAAAGGATTCAAAGCAGGGACTTTAGTATTGGCACATGCATGTTCATAGCAGCACTCTTCACAATAACACACAGCCCAGTGGCCATCAGCAATGAACTAAATAACAAAGTGTGACACACCCAAACGATGGATACGACCTGGCCATAGCAAGGAACGAAGTACTGATACGTGCTACAAAGTTGATAAACCTTGAAAACTCTAGGCTAAGCGAAAGATACCAGGCACAAAAGGTCATATAGTGTATGATTCCGTTTATATAAAATATCTGGAATAGATAAATCTGTAGAGACAGAACACAAACCCTGGTGGTTAACCAGGCACCGAGGGGAGCAATTGTTTAATGGCTATGGGGTTTCCTTTTGGGGGGTAATGCAAATGCTTTGGAATTAGATTGAGTTGGTGGGTGCACAATACTATGAATGCACTAAATGCCACTGAACTGTCAACTTAAAATGATTGGTTTGATGATATGTGAATTTCGCTCAAGTTTAAAAAACAAAAATAGAAATATTTCAAATGCCACAGAAGAATATATATAATACTTTAACAGACACCTACATAATTATTGCCCAACTTTGTCAAATCTTAATATTTTGCCTTGTTTGCTTTTATGTATTAAGGAAATGAAGCTTTCAGATGGCATCTAAGCCCCCTAGACATTCTTCTGTTATCTTATCCTCTCTCTCCCTCCATCCTCAGGGCCACCTGTAGGCTGAATGTGGTGTTCACTTCCAAGCACAGTCTAGACTTTCACTGCACACATATGACCTACACATGGCATTGTTTTACGTTTTCACACTTTATGAAAATGCCAGCGTACCGTACATATCCTTCTGCAACATGCTTTCCAGGCAACATTATGTTCTGAGATTTATACATGTTGACTTTGTTTATCCAGTCTTCTGTTAATAGACACTTGGGATAGTTCCAATTTGCTGCCTTTAGCTACTGCAGACAGCATTGCCAAGAACATTCTCATATTTGCCTCTGTAGTTACCTGTTGGAAATTTCTCCCATAAACACGTGGAGGATGTGACTTGTTGGGTCACAGGGGATGTGCACATTGTCATTTTCCCAGATGTTACCACATTGCCGTCCAAAAGAGTAAATCCAATTTACACACCCCAGGAGCAGATTTACTGGGAAGCCGATGATGTTTAATTAAGTTCAAGACCCCTCCTTACTCAAGCCTTTTCCAAGACTCTGCCTAATTTTGTATTCTTTTATAAAGATGGTTCCCCCAGTTGTTTAAGCTTCAGGCTAAATCTGGACCTTCCCCGGCCCCCACCAGCAGCACATGAAAGTCGCCATTGTTCCTCATCACTTGGTAGCGTCAGACTTTATAATTTTCTGCTAATCCGATGGGTGTGAAATGCTTGATTATTTTTTAAATCTGTAGTCCACTGAGTTGTTGATGACTCATAGTTCAGATTCCCATGCCTGACCTCCCAACAGCCTGGGAGGCGCAGATGTCCAAGGCGATCAGGGTGGAGCACCACTTCCATGGTGAGGGGACTGCCCACTGGAGCAAGTGAGGGTGGCAGCTCAGGGTGGGGCATCGCTATCTCTCCTTGGCCCTGCAGCCCTATCCCAGACCTCCTGACCTCTGAAATCTGCAGAGTCCTTACAGGAAGAGGAAGGCAGGCCCAACTAGGAAGTGAGACTGCCTTTCCAAATACCTCCAAAGTCACAGAGGCTGTGCCCCTATTGCAGATGGTGGGGTCATCAGCACAGCCCCGTATAGGCCACGGGTGAAATGGCCAGTGTTCTCTCCTCCTCCAACAAAACCCAGGGCTTTGCCTCTGGTCTGCTCCCCTGCAAAAGTCCCACCCAGTGAGGAACTTTTCCTTTTGGAGCCACTCTCTGTCTCCTCCTTCTCCATTCTAAGCCAGGGGCTTCATGACACTGAGCCACCATTCAGGAAACAGAAGACGTGCAGGGAAGGCTTTCTGTCCCAGCTATGGCCCCCAGACGCAAGGTCTCCCACAGAGAGACCCCTGTGCCAGGAGAGACCCCTACCCTTTCAGGACTTGTGAAGGAAGTGGCTGAGGAGGGCTGTGAGATCATCTACTCAGCCTCTCCTCCCCAGGCCACAAAGGAGGCAGGATTGTGAATGAGAGCCTGAGGAATGCCACCAGCCCTCCAGGGGCACGCCCTCCTCCTCTGTGCCTCAGAAGCACCAAGAGAAGTGCGGTCACATCACGGGTTGGGGTTGGGGTGGGGAGACACCTGAAATCAGTTTGCAGTTTTGACAGTTTCAGTGAACTGGACAGAGTTATGACTAAAATGACACCTTTTCTGTGACCCAAAGAGACCGGACTTTTATTAAGAGTGACCAGAGAAGTCTAGGGACCTACGCTAGATTTCTACCTGGCTGGGGAAGAGCCAGCCTGACAGAGCCGGGACTGGGCCACGGGCCGGTGATCCAAGCTGTGGCTGCATTGAGAAGGTGGCGTGGGAGCTCCTAGGAGACCAGAGATGTAGAATCACAGAAACCTCACTTTCAGACAGGGAG